ACACAACTCTTCTGGAAACTCTGGGCTGTCAGTAACCTCTGTCTCACTTGTTGAATCTGCTCAGTCACCTTATCCGCTATCTCAGTGTTACCCATAATTCCCTGCCCTAATTCTCCCCAACGGATGGGGGTGCGACACCTTCTCCCATACAGGAGCTCAAAGGGTGGCATACCAATGCTCGAGTGATGACTGTTGTTGTAAGAAAACTTAGCCAAGGGTAGGTATGTGTCCCAACTTCCACCAAAGTCCATAACATATACCTGAAGCATGAGCTCGAGCGTCTGAATCATACGCTCACTCTGTCCGTCTGTCTGTGGGTGATAAGCGGTACTAAAATGCAACTGAATTCACAACTCCTCATGGAACTTCTTCCAGAATCTGGAAGTAAAACGCACATCCGGATCCGACACTATGGATGTCAGCACTCCATGCCGAGCTACCACCTCTCGCAGATAAATCTCTACCAGCCTCTTAGCAGAAGAGCTCTCACAAATAGCAAGGAAGTGAGCACTCTTCGTCAATCGATCCACAATCACCCAGATCGCGTCCACTCCCCGCATCATTCTCATTAATTTGGTGATAAAGTCCATCGACATCTGCTCCCACTTCCACTAGGGAATCTCCAAAGGTTGCATTGAAACAAGCAGCCGTGGGTGCTATGCCTTGACACGGCGGCAGGTCAAGCACTTCTTGACCACCTAAGCAACATCCCTCTTCTTACATGGCCACCAATAGTCTCTCTTCAGATCCAAATACATTTTAGTGGCCACAAGATGGATTGAGAATCTCAACTTGGATACCTGCCCAATCACTCACTCCCTCCTGTGGTTTTCCGATTTCACGACATCCGCCTGGGCCTATCAAATGGTATTCAATACCAGATTCATCACTGTCATCCTCATGCATATATCCCGAATCGGGGCAATCTCCATCTTGAAACTCAGGGCATCAGCTACGACGTTAGCCTTGCCTGGGTGATACAAAATCTCACAATCGTATTCCTTTACCACGTCCAACCACCTTCTCTGGCGCATGTTCATGTTGGGTTGGTCCATCAGATACTTCAAGCTCTTGTGGTCCGTGTATATGGTACACCGAACCCCAAACAAATAATGGCGCTAGATCTTGAGGGTGAACACTACTACCCTCAACTCTAAATCATGGGTGGGATACCTCATCTCGTGAGGCTTTAACTGCCTCGATGAATATGCTAAGCACGTGCCCTCTCTGCATAAGCACCGCTCCTAACCCCGATATAGATGCATCCCAATAAACCACAAAGTTCTCCATTCCCTCAGGAAAGGCTAACACCGGAGCTTCACACAATCTCTGGCGAAGAGTCTTGAACGCGGTCTGCTGCTCGGGACCGTAAGTAAAAGCAACTCCCTTCTAGGTCAATCGAGTGAGAGGAAAGTCGATATTGGAGAAATGTTTAATAAATCTCCGATTGTAGCCGGCCAACCCCAGAAAGCTCCTAATCTCGGTGGGGGATCTCGGCACCTCCCAACTCAAAACTGCATCAATCTTGGCCGAGTCGACCGAAATCCGATTCTGATTAACGAGGTATCCCAAGAACTAAACCTCTCGTAACCAGAAATCACACTTCGAGAATTTGGCATAAAGCCTCTCCAATCTCAATACTCCGAGGACTTCCTCAAATTCTCCTCATGCTACTCTCTAGTCCTTGAATACACCAAAATATCGTCGATGAACATGATCACCGAATGATCCAATATAGGCCTGCAGACCCGGTTCATGAGATCCATGAACGCTGCTGGTGCATTTGTGAGCCCGAAAGGCAACACCACGAACTCATAATGCCCATAACGAGTTCTAAATGATGTCTTATGAATATCTTCCTCACAAACCCTCATCTGGTGTTAACCAGACCTCAAATCGATCGTGGAAAACCAAGATGCACCCTGCAACTGATCGAACAGATCATCGACACTCGGGAGTGGATAACGGTTCTTGACCGTCAGCTTGTTCAACTCTCGGTAATCAATACACATCCGTTGTGAACAATCATTTTGTTGACAAAAAGGATCGGTTCTCCCCACAACGAGCTACTTGGCTAGATAAATCCCTTTTCCCAATAGATCATGAAGCTGTAAGAATAACTCCTGCATCTCTGGCGGCGCAAGGCGATAGGGTGCCTTGGCGATAAGTGCTGCCCTCGGAAGTAAATCAATACGAAACTCCACCCACCTCTCGGGAGGCACACCTGGTAACTCCTCGAGAAAAACGTTCGGAAACTCGCTTACCACCGGAACCTCAGTGAAAGTACTTGGTCTCTCTACAACATCTAGTGTATCTGACACATACGCCAAAAAACCGATGCAACCCTGTTGCAAGCTCGGCCTCGCTCGAGCAGCCGAACAAAATGCTAACCCAGATCGGGTGCCCTCACCGAATACTGTAAGTACTCCCCCACTAGGTTTTTGGATGCTCACCATTTGACACTCACAGTCGATCATGGATCCGAATCGGCTCAGCCAGTCTATGCCTACGATGACACATACATCCCCCTTCGCGATAGGTACCAAATCTATTGGAAACTATACTCCAAAAAGCTCTAACACACATCCCGTATCACATCAGTCGCAAAAACAACATGCTCATCAGCTATGGAAACTCTCAAAGGTCGATGCAACGCCTCCTGTCGGATACTGATGTAATGACTAAATGTTAGGGATACGAAAGATCGACTCATACCCTAGTCGAATAACACCAAAGCAGGCATAGAATTCACAAGAAAAGTACCTACTCATATCACAATATTAGCATAACATATCTCAAATATAAAATATGGAAGAGAATATACCGGCCACAACGTCTGGTGTTGCGTAGACCTCTTCCGCCGTCAAGTGGAAAAGCTCTACCATGAGCCTTCGGTGCATTCGCCTTCACTGGCCGACCCTCTGAAGCTCGCGTAGCAGAAGTCGCAGATCCATGCGTTGATCCCTGAAGTAACTGCATGCACTCAACCTTCATATGGCTAGTCTGGTTGCAACGGAAGCAAACCGAAAATCCCTTGGGGCAATCTCTCGCGATATGCCCCTCCTTCCCACACTTGTAACATACACCTGTTCTACAAACCCCATTATGGCTCTTGTCGTACTTCCCACAAGTGCGGCCCTTCTGACCTCCTGATCTCGAATCAGCGGGATTTTGCCCGCTTGGCTGCCGGCTGACACTGTGTCGGCCACCTATCCCTCCTCTGTGACTCGGCCTCCTCCCTGGCCTGAGTCTTTAGCTCAATCTCCCTCTTCCGAGCGTTTTCCTGGAGCTCAACAAATGTTCGGTATGTCGAGTTCGCCACGAACTCCCGAATGTATCTCCTCAGAATGCTCAGATAATGGCTCATATGTGCCTGCTCAGAAGAAACATGCTCAAGGCAAAACAACGCCCTCTCATGAAATATCCGTGTGATCACCGTTACAGACTCAGTCCCCTGCTTGAGGAACAAGAACTCCTGGGTCAACCGTTCCCTCCCCACCAGGGGAACGTACTCATCTCGAAACATAGCAGTGAACCTCTCCCAAGTCACTGCGGTAAGCTCTGCGGTATTAAAGTCAGTTGTCACAGACTTCCACAAGTCCTTCGCTCCCAAGGGAAGTTGGTTCAACGCGAACCGCACCCTCAGATGTTCCGGACAATAACATGTGTATAGGCATCCCTCAATGTCAGAGATACATCACTTCGCGACTATCGGATCCTGAGTCCCATCAAACTCTTGTGGCTTCATGTTCCTGAACTCCCGGTACAACAACGAGTTACCTCCTTGTGGCCTGGCAGCGGCAACGGCTGCGGTGACCGCAACAATAGCAGCATCGGTAAGAGCAACATATCACTTGGCAAAGGTCTTAATCAGTGTATTTGGTGTGCCCTACTGGAAATATGGCCGCAGCAACAACAACTTAATTTTGTTGTGCCCTACTGAAAATATGTGTATATGTATCCCCTATTTTTAGATCAAGTAATCCTTCCTCCTTTATAAATTTATTGAAATCCTAGGCAGTGTAACTGTAGAAGTTGGAATTTACCCTTTCATCTCGAATTCATTAGATTAATAAAGCTCTCCCATAGTTTCCTATTCTCTAAAATTAAGTGGGGGCATATATCTGGACAATTGCAAAGTTTATTCTGAAACTATTACAAGTTCCATAAATCGCCAGGAAATGTCTATTTTTGATTGATTCAGAGACAAAAAAAAATAGGACATATCCCATATGGTGATGATGCCTCCAAACCTGCCACTTACTTCTATACACTCAAAACCATAGTTTTTGTATCCCCATCTGTTTTCTACGTTTATTTCATCTACCCCGTCCTATAATTGAGTTTCTTGGATACATATTAGCGCCACTTTGTTCAACTGCCTTAATCTCCCGACCCAATTAATTTTGTTTGTTTCCCTCAAACCCCTAATATTTATCGACATTAGATTTATTGTTCACTAATATGGTCTCCGAAATCGCCCATGACTTCAGCCAAAACTTCATTTCCCGCATTAATCTCAAAGCCGAGGAGTAAGCCAACCTCAACAGTTTTTCCATCTCTGAGATCGGAGGGATGATCGAAGGAGCTACATCTATGGGGAGGTTTGATGGGTTATGCGGTGTTCGATTTAGGTCCGGTGCAGAAGGTTGGCTTTAATTGGAGCTTAAGGACTCTGAGTTTTACTGGTCAATGATAAAGGATGGGGGGATGGCATGAAAATTAATCGGATTCATCAAGGATTGTTGGATCTTTCTTCTTTTTAAATATGATCCACTAGGGACCATTTCCAAGCCCATAGGACAATTGGGCTCATCGTTCACTCCCATCCCCTTGTTTGAGAAAAGCCCAAACACTCCCTCAGGAAGTAATTCTCTAATTTTCCCAAATGACATTTGTAGGGTCCCAGACCAATCGCCATCATCCTCTTCATTGACATCAATCCTGTCATCCAAATTCCTAGGAGATTCATTAATTTGTGATTGTTGATCTTCATCATGTTAGGATGTCATTTCGTGTTGGTTTCCCATCTCCCCGGGAGAGACTGTTGCCCTACCTTCCAGAAAGTCACCGACATCATCGACTGAGGAACTTCTTTCATTCTCTGATTCAGGGATCTGCTCAGTGTCATTTTCTAGCTCAATTTCACTGTCCTCTAACGCTTCATCCGTTTCAAACACCGTACTGGAGATGGCGTCCTCATCGTCCTCATCTTCTCATTCCGACTCACTCTCATTTGAAAATGTCGAGAATGGCTTCCAATCATCACCAACCTCATACACACCAATTTTGAATACCCAATTGTCTGCAATAATTATGACTTCCTCGTTAATTCTGCTCAGTGACATAGTAAGGAAACACATCTTCATATGGGATACATCCACCCTATTCATGCTTATTTCTATCAAGTTGGATATTACCCCATGTTTCAAGGTATTAGCACATAAGTTTCCTTCATCCCAAAGGTTGGGCGACCAACAATTTTTAACCAAGCTATCATGTCAGTCTTAATTCCAACTTTATCCCCTCTATCAATCCGTGTGAACCATAATCTCCAAAAATATGTATTCTCCATGAAGTTTTTGATGGGTTTTATACAAAAGAACATTCCTATGTGCTCATACAAAACCCTAAATCTTGGATCTAGGTTTCTCTATTGAACATGCAATTCATCCAAGACTTGAAACCCTAATCTAGCATACATCAAAATCGAAATCTATAATAAACTAGGTTAGATGATACCTTTCAATGTTAGAAATAATCCTTTGATCTTCAAGAAACTTAGTGTCATAAGTGTAATAACTCTAATGGCTCACAAACACCACAAGCAAGAGAATGATGTAGAGGAGAGAGGATGAGAGGCAAAAATCGGATCCAGGGTTCCAAAGGATCAAGTGGCCAATTTTCTAAGACCTAGGGGTCTTTATATACTTGAGCTTCGAGGCTTTCAGTCAAAATCCTAATTGGATGACTTAGAGCCTAAGTAACTTTGAGAATCTTATGGAATAAGGCCTCTATGGCCGAAATTAAGATGGACTCCTCTTAATTTTGTCCATACCCTAATCCATAAGGATTCTCAACCTATTATTCAACTATCACACAATTGACAGTTCCAGTCCCCTTTATTTAACTAATGTCTTTTAGCCATAGAAGTGTAGAACTAATTCTTAATTAATTATTGTTTAATATTAATTAAACTATATGATTTCTCTTTTAATACATTATTCATATAATATATTAATAAACCATAATAACCTTTCTCTTCATAAATCATCCTATCAAGATGCTTTGGTAAAGGCAACCTAAAAGGACCATGCACAACCAAGTCAAGTACATACCAAATATAGTTACGAGCTTAGACACTAATCCAACAGTCTCCCACTTGGATAAATCTAGTATATACGGTGCAAGTACAATCCTATTAGCAATCGTAGCTCTCAAACACGCTGTCGAACTCTGATCTTATCAGTAATCTGTCCTTTAGATAAGGGATCGTATAGTCCTCCATTCTAGATATCGTGCGGATAATTACATGGAACATAGTCATACTTATTATCCAGCAGTTTGTTTCTCGATCTCGGATTCGTCTGACATAGAACTTTATTGAACACATCAACTTAGTCCTAACTGGTCCCGGCACATAAGTCAAACCAAATCATCGAGGGGCCAAATATCGCTTTTACCCTCTTAGGATAAAAGGAACAGATAAACTTCGACTTATATGCATTTATCATTCACTCATTTAATCATACACAACAATGCATTTTATAACATCAAGTTACTAATGTGTTAACGCATTATCAATGCACAACCAACTTGCAAATAATAAATCATATATCTAGGTTTTAAGACCATATGATATTATCGTCTTGCGATCACTTGAAATAAATTCCATGAAGTGATGCCAGCAAGTGCGGTTCTAATCCAATGCTCAAATCTTATTCATAAGCACTCATGAACATTGAAGCAAACTTTTGCTATGCCTAATACACTTTAGACAATTTACAAACCAATTGATGACAATCTTCTTTCATACCTACTCCCAAAGTATGAGCGACTGTGGAATGTTCGAATAATCTTATTATTCAGGAAGCCAAAACATGCAAAGTGAAAACAATGGGTAATTAATCAACATAAGACAGTAACTTTACTTATAAATAATACTCCTTTATTTAATCATCAAATGTTAATTACATTTATCTATTACATGTTTCTAAGTTATCTAATCTATACTAATATTGTCCTTCAGCCCAATGCTCTTAACGTACTGCAAGTGCTTAACCCTACTCAATCCCTTCGTAAGAGGATCTACTAGGTTAACCTCCGACGATACCCTATTCACTACGAGGAGTCCCTCTTCCACCCGATGTCTAATAATATGATATTTCCTGTCGATATGTCGAGATCTACCAGGATCCCTCGGTTCCTTGGTCAAGGAAACCGCTCCTTCATTATCGCAGAAAATCTCCATAGGCTCCTTTATGGCTAGCACAACTCCAAGGTCTCTGATGAAGTTCTTCAACCATATTGCCTCCTTTGATGTTTCTCTCGCCACTATGAACTTTGATTCGCACGTTGAATCAGCTATGGTATCTTGCTTGGAACTTATCCAAGTCACTGATCCTCCATTCAAAGTAAAGACCCAGCCCGGCTGAGAATGATAGTTGTCTTGGTCGGTCTGAAAATTGGCATCACTGTACCCTTTCACCATTAAGTCATCACTCCCACCGAGGACTAGAAACCATTCTTTGGTCCTACGAAGGTACTTAAGAATATTTTTGACTACGGTCTAATGTGCTTTGCCAAGGTTCCCTTGATATCTGCTGACCATGTTCAAGGCGAAGGCCACATTAGGGCGAGTACAAGTAATCGCATACATGATTGAGCCAACTGTGGAAGCGTAAGGTGCTCGGCTCATCTCTGCTATCTCGAATTCAGTACTCGGACTTTGAGTCTTACTCAACTTGACATTACGTTGGATTGGTAAATCCCCCTTCTTAGAATTCTCAATACTAAAATGTTTAGTACCTTGTCCAAGTAAGTGTTCTGACTAAGTCCTATTAGTCTTTTACTCCTGTTTCTCACTATCCTTATTCCTAGAATATAGGCAGCCTCTCCGAGGTCCTTCATAGCGAAACACTTCCCAAGCCAAGACTTAACTTCCTGCAGCGTCGGGATGTCGTTTCCTATGAGTAGTATGGCATCGACATACAATACGAAGAAGCTTACTCTACTCCCAATGGCTTTAACATATATACATGATTCATCATCGCTTCTCAAAAAACCAAACTCTTTGACTTTCTCATCAAAACAAAGATTCCATCTGTGATATGCTTGTTTCAGTCCATAGATGGACTTCTCAAGCTTACACACTCTATTGGGGTGCTTCAGATCGACAAAACCTTCTGAATGATTCATGTAAACATCCTCAGCCAACTTTCCGTTAACGAAAGCAGTTTTGATATCCATCTACCATATCACATAGTCATGAAATGCAGTAATGGCTAGCATCACCCTAATATACTTTATTTTCGCAACTTGTGAGAAGGTCTCATCATACTCAACTCTGGGAGTTTGAGTAAAGCCCTTCGCAACCAATCACGCCTTATAAGTGTGTACCTTCCCATCCATGTCAGTCTTCTTCTTGAAGATCGACTTGCACCCGACCGTCTTACGACCTGGCACATTGTCAACCAAATTCCATACTTGGTTGTCATACATGGACTGAATCTCGTTGTCCATAGCCTCTTTCCATTTGGGAAACTCCGGGCCTACCATGTCTTCCTTGTAGCTATTAGGTTCATCCAAATATATTAGTGTATTGTCACTAATAAACGTATCACCCTCACTTGTTATATGAAAACTATACAACATGGGTGGAACACTAACTCTACTGGAACGTCTAAGAGGTAAGGATTCATCAATCGGTTCAATCGGAGTTTCCTCCTTGGACTGAGCACCAGTGTTAGAGGTTCCTTCATCGCTCGACTCTTTAATCTATTCAAGATTGATTTGCCTCCCACTATCCCTTGGATTATGAGTTCTCGCTCTCGGAAAACCCCTCTTCTTGCAACGAAGGCAACATTGTCACTCGGTCTATAGAAAAAAATATCCAAAGGAATTCTGTGGGTAGCCGATGAAAATACATAGCTCACTACGAGGTTCGAGCTTTTCGTGAGTCTCTCATCCTACAAAAGCCTCGCAACCCCAAACCTTGATATGTGCCAACGAGGGAGCTTTCCCTGTCCACATCTCGTGAGGTGTTTTGGCAACCTTCTTCGTAGGGACTATGCTAAGGATATGGGCGGAAGTCTCTAAGGCATACCCCCAAAATGAGATAGGTAGTGAAGCACGACTCATCATGGAACGAACCATGTCTACCAAGGTTCGATTACGCCTCTCAGCTACATCATTCAACTGCGGTTTCCTAGGTGGCGTTAATTGCGAAACGATTCTGCATTCCTTGAGGTAGTCGTGGAATTCAAGACTTAGGTACTCTCCACCTTGATTGGATCGAAGCATCTTGATTTCCCTGCCTAACTGATTCTATACTTCTTGTTTAAACTATTTGAACTTTTCAAAGGTTTCTGACTTGTGCTGGATTAAGTAGATATACACATATCTGCTATAATCACCAGTGAAAGTCACATAGAAGCGGTTCGCACCCTTATGGTGGATCTAAAAGGCCCACACACATCGGTGTGTATGAGGTCCAGTAAACCCTCATCCCTTTCACAAGTGCCAGTGAAGGGTGACTTGGTAATCTTTCCAAGTAAACAAGACTCTCACATGTCATCGTCCCTAAGGTCGAATGATCCAACACTCCATCCTTTTGGATTTAGGCAATATGTTTCTTGTTGACATGTCTAAGACGACAATGCGACAAGCATGCTTTATCCAAACTATTGGAATAATCGATACGTAACACATCATTTCCTAAATTATGTACAACCATCACAGTTTCATATATTCCATTACAAGGCAATGCTTCAAAACAGAAAATGTCATTAAGATAAGCATTAATTGGACCCTTTTTCCTTATCAAATGAATATCTAAATCCTTGTCTATATAAACCATGAAAAGAAATGATGTTTCTTGCCATATCTGGCGAATAGCAACAATTATTTAAATCTAGTCCTAATCCATTACTAAGAACTAAAGAGTAAACTCCAATCTTGGTGACAGGCGACGATCTTCTGTTCCGCATGATCAAGTTTATCTTCCTATGCTCTACATCCCTATTTCTTCTTAGGCCCTGCAAATTAGAACAAATGTAAAAACCACATCCTGTATCAAGAACCCAAGAAATACATCTGATGAATCATTAGATTTAATAGTTTAATTACCTACGAAGGAGCACTTGATCTT